TGATTGGCTGGGTCACCAATTGACCTGCCTCTGAGAGTCAGGGGGGGGGGGGGTTTTCTCACAAACACCCTTGGTCCCCACAGATCTGGGCATCTTCCCATTGCAGCCTCCGATGCCTCCTTGGGAGATGAGACTGTCCAGGGTGGGGTGGGGTGGGACTGGGATATGTGTGAGGGTGGGGGAGTTTTAGAGATGTGATGGATACCGGTATAAGTAAGGTAACTCCTTGGATCATCTCTGGATAAGAAGAAGATGGGAGGTTGCCCACATGTGCTCCGGACAGCTGCTCCTCATAAGGAGATAACAAGAGAGAGCTTTTCCATAGCTTTGGGCAGAGGAGATGATGGGATTAACCATCTTGATCACATTTGTGGCAGAGACTTTTAAAGGACAATGAGTTTGCTAATGTCACTTTCCAATCATTTTCTTAGGAATTTCTCATTAGCTGCTTCTAAGTTATTAGTAACCTTCAGAACGACAAATTTGAAAATGCCAGGTGAGTTCCAACCTGAGAGGAGGAACATTTCAATCATACATTGAACAACGTAAAGAATCCAAAATAAAGAGCAAAAAGCTAAATGAGATGACGAAGGGTCTCCTGCTGGTGCAGGGGGCTGGACTAGAAGATCTCCAAAGTCCCTTCCAACTCTGTCATTCTGCTACTCTCGTCCTTCTCACACATTCGATCGTCGCTCCTTGTGCAGCCACTACGCCAACTCTCTAATTGTGGAGTGATATTACACGGCATACTGAGGGGGGCCATCCTCACCATCGTTACGTTGCAGCACAGCAGGTAAGAACCAGGAGGCAGCAAAGCTCCATTTTAGGGTCCATTCAGCAGTTTAAGAGAACCGTCCGAGGCCTCCTCGCTGCCAGCTGAACGGGATCGTTTCTGCCTCCTCATCCAGGACACTCACAGCCGGTTCCTTTGGGGTCCCGTGTGGGTCTCCTCTTCCCTCGGATGGAACTTTGCAACCTCCTGCACGAAATTCTTCCTCTGATATGTGCCCCTCAATTAGGGTGGTGGACGGTGATCGTGCTGAGCTGGTGATTGGCTAGGGCTCAAGCAGGGGTTGGACTAGAAGACCTCCAAGGTCCCTTCCAACTCTATTATCCTATGCGCTGACTCCTTTATGCGAGTAGGGCTCATGGGGATCCCCCACCCACCCATGTTTGACCCCTGAAGGTATCCCAGACCTTTGGGTGGGATGCCATGTCCGAGTTCCAGCAATTGTACCAATTCCGCTGTGTTCGAGCTCAGTTGCCGTGCTGTGCTCAATAAAATTACTGGGCGGGGTCTGCTCATAAACGGGGCCCTGGGTGAGGGTGGGGGAGTTTTAGAGATGTGGGGGATGCATTTGAAATAGAATTTTGGAAGTAATTATAAAAAATTATTCCTGTGGGAAAATGCTTTTGATCAAAACAAAAATAATAAGATGAAAAACTGGAAAATTGGACTAGAAAAAAACTAAAGGGACCTAAACATTGCAATTTAGAGGACACTTAAACTTAATCTACAAGAAAAGAATGAAGCAGAACATTTTAACGTTGGAGATGGTGAAGGTCACATTCTGAACAATAGAGACAGATGTTAATTTTAATGGCCTCGCCTGTGCATGGATGGCTTCATGGAAGGAGAACAGGTAGTACCAGGTAAGATGGAAAATTAGATACAGACCTGGATATAAAAATGATTAGCTACAAGAATGACATGGAAAAAGAGGTTACACTGGACATACAAGATCTCTTAATCATTAAAAGGGATATACAAACACTAAATTAGGAGAGTGGTTGGTTAATTTTCTGTGTTGGAATTACAAAACGGGCTTATTAAAGG